TGGACTGTGAGATTGTTTGAACCGCAAGGTCGGCAGTTCAAACTCAACAGTCATTCTTTGGAAACCCTATACAGGGTCACTATGAATTGGAACTGACTCAATGACACCTAACAACAACAATTTTTATTATCAATTACTTTAAATGCCTATCTCTTAACTCAGAGTTCTGGTGTGACGCTGCAGAATAATTCATTGGACCATAAGGTCAGCAGTTCAAACCCACCAGATGCTTCTCAGAAACCCTATACAGGGTAACTACAAGTTGGAACCAACTCAATGGCACTTAACAACAACATCTTAACTCAGCATTATTTAATATCCAAGAGAGTTTCATCTACTTGACAACTTTTCAAAAATGTTCTATTCTATTTTTCTCCTCTCTGACGATTGAATATGAAATAAGACATCCTCAGAATCTTCTACTGCTTTGCAATTATTCTCTGACAATTTTCCTTTTATGCATTCTGCTTCAGTAAAATGTGTTTCTAGATACAACCTGGACTTGGGAGGTTGTTGTTGTTGTTAAATGCCATAGAGTCGGTTTTGACTCAATAGTGACCCAGTATAGGTTTTCCAAGGAGCAGCTGGTGGGTTTGAACTGGTAACTTTGTGGTTCAAAGTCCAGTGCTGATCTTACAATGCCACAGCAGGAGTTTGAACTTGGGAGGGCAGATAAAAAAACAAAACAAAACAAAACAAAAAACCCCACTGTCATTAGTCTTCTTCTGTTCATTAGCAATTGATATACAATAAAACACTCAAAATTCTCTAGTCAACAAAACAATAACCAAAACCAAAAACCAAAAACCAATGAGCTTTCATTTAGATCATTTGTCTTGGGCAGAGCAGCTGAACTGGGCTGGGAGGCTCTGCTGATCTCAGCTGGGCTTACTCACATATTTGCAAGTCAGCGGGAGGTTAGCTGGTCTAGGCTTCCATCTTCCTTCCCATGCAGAAGTGAAACAGACAGAAACCTGTGTCTTTGTAACTGAAGGCCTAATCTTAGATCTGGCATACTGACACTTCTGACTTACTCTACTGATCAAAGTAGGTCACATGACATATCCCAAAGGCAAGGGATGAACATATATTCGTCTTATTGAAACAAGTGGAAGGAAAGAGTATCAGAAGATCAATGAGTCAACCCAGAACACTCATGAAGATAATGAAACATAATATTCTTTTCACTGTGCCTAAGTAATAGCTTTTGTATCCTAAGCAAACACAATTGCTAGAAAATCTACTAAACATGAAAGAAAGGAAGAAAAAAAAATCTAATTGATACTTTTCATGTTGCAATTATTTAATATTTTTTAGAATTTAAAATATCACCTTGTTATTTTTTAAACAGTAAATATAATAACCTATTAAATTGTGACTATGTTTGAAATAAAATAATGTGTGAATGAAGGCCTCATATTTAAACACTTACATCCATATATCAAACATTAATTTAGATACATATATATGCATGTATACTAAATATCAGTGAAGTTTCCTGTGAATCTAAATAACAATATTTATGTAGAAACTTAATAATTATGCACTATAGTGTGCTTTGTATTTAGAATCTTCATCAGTAGTTTGCTATTTTTAATTTTAAAAATCCATACATTAAATTTTTGGCAGTTTTAATACTGAAAATGTACAAAGACACATATGTAAATGTTAACAAGCAAAACATGTCCTGTAAAGCCACTTCTAGTCCACATGCTTTAAACCATACTAATACAATCTAAAGTGATTTATATATTTTCATTCACTGCAATTATTTTCAAATTAAACTCATAAAATAATTTTAATCTTTCTTCTTCTAAATGGTTTTCTTAACAATGACTTCAATTAAAACATGTTTATATGAACCATAATCAGCTTTAACATTATAATGAAGTGAAACTTTTGAGATTTTAATATTAGAATATATTTTACTATAATTTAATTTTTATAAAATGATTGCTATACTTATATATCAAAAAGTAAACATCGAAAGCTATAATAAGCAAGCATGGAAAAGAGAGTTTCACGTTAAATCAACGCAAAATGACTCAACAGGTCACAATAAGAATGACTTGGGAAGAGCTGCTTGGTCTGAAGTTTGGGGAGATTTGGGAACTCCTGAGTCCATGGACAATGACTGAGCCACAGAGGGCTAGAGCTGAGAGAAGCATCCAGCTGATATAAAGAGGGGGGAGATGCAAAAGAATGCCCAAATTTGACCTAGCTTCAATGGCTTGATGATCAGAACTTGAATAGAGGAAGATAAAGAAATTTGATAAAGGAAGCAGGTGTAAATTACTACAATTTTATGAATTTGCTAATTACTTATGGATACAGTAGCTCAAAATACCAACCGAGAGGGAAGGAGTCTTCACATCAAGGATTAAACCTATCCCCTGGGTATACAGGGTTGATAGGAATGGGCAACTTAGACATTTGTTACCTAAAATGGGGAGGGAGGAATCTATAAAGGCATGAAGTGGGGGGGGGGCTTACCAAGTTTTCAAGAGAGAGTATAGTTTCAGAGTATTCGAGGGAAGATAGAATCCCCACTGACTAGATTTCCTCTTGTCTTGATTGGTCTGGTGAAAGGAGATGGGGATAGGATTCATTATATTCAATAGTGAATAATTGTTACCTTGACTAATTTTGATTGTCAAAATTGTAAATGTAGAACTTGTGTAACTAAAAGGGGCAAGTATTTAATCTTGCATTCCAGGAACAGAGGACCCTAGGACCATCAAGAGAGAAGAGCATGAGCAAGAACATGGGACCCTAACTAGAGAAGTAGCAACATCAGAGATGTAGGCAGATATGAGGGAAAGATAGAGCAGCTGAGGACTCTAGACTCATGGAGAGAGAAAGGCTGTGTGCTGGTGGCCAGGAGGCTAGCATGCAGAATGTACCCGTTGTTTGTTTAAATGATAAACATTTTTTAAAAAAGAGTCACTTTGGGTAGAATATAAGGTTCTGACTTTTAGCTGTAAATTAGTACCTTGCAATACGTTGTCTTTCAAATTGCAGAATTTCTATTTAAAAAAAATACTTCATCCTCTCCATATAAGTCATTAATCCAGTCATTGATCATATACATTAAACAGCTAAAGTGACTAACTTTAATTTGGTTTAATTAAATTAAATAGCATAAGTTTAGGAAGAACACTTTTCTCTCCATAATATTACTCACAGAAAGCAATTTTAGCAAATTTGACTTAAAATGATTACTACTTTTTAAGGGATTTGGAAAAATAAAGTAAGTTCAGTTCTCACTAAAGTAATTAAGTTTATAAACTCTATGATAACAATGCAAGTTGCCTCCAATCTCTTAATAAATAATGAAAAATTAATTTATCTTCACATCTAGGCCAATAATTCTCACCATTCCAGTATTTCTTAGATATAATTTCTGTATATTGGAAATGTAGCTAGAAAGTTGAAAGTTTTGTCTGGCCATTGGAGATAGATCTGTTCCTCTCTGTCCATTTTTCTATTACTCTTCCAGGTACCCTGCCTTATTCTCCACCTCGCTCTTCTGTACACCCTTTGCTACCAGCCATTTTTGTACAGGGTGCTCAGCTTAAGTTTTACTGCCCAAGGTAGTAAAGTTCCATAAATTACAATTTCCTCATCTACAAGGTCAAGGAGGTGGAGAGATTTTTATATGTACATTAAAAGTGTGTGTGCATGTATATATATTTTATATGTGTGTGTATGTCTATATATAGCACCAGTTACCTGTCTTGTACTTAGAGTCACTCATTGTCTCCTTGATTACATTTCCCCTTTTATTTTTATAGGGCTTTCAAAGTTGTAAAATATTTTCATCTAAAGATACATGAAAATACATGTGGTATATTCTTTGTAGGTCATACTTTTGTACCACAAAGTTGAGCACCTTTGTAGGGGTGTAGACATTCTAACCAAAAATCTACACATTTACCATGTATATTCATTCTCAAGATTATGAACTAACTGATTTAATTTACACTTTTTAACACTGAGAGAGATACTGAGAGGTGAGTCCAACAATCTACATGCAAGTCTACATTTAAAGACCACATTTCATTTACGAGAATTGTCATTGTTACGTACTGTTGAGTTGGTTCCAACTCATGGTGACCCCATATAGGATTTCTGAGGCTTATAAATCTTTGTAGGAGCAGAAAACCTCATCTTTCTCTCATGGAGTAGCTAGTGTGCTCAAACCACTGACCTTGTGGTTTACAGTCCTGTGCTTATCTTATGGAGTTACCATGCAACCCTTTAAAGAGACTAAATCTCAGCAATTATTTCCAATCTAGTAATTCTCACTATGACTTACATGTAAAAAATACATTCATTTTTTAATTAGCTTATCAGACTTCTTTTAAATTTATTTAGAAAAATTAAAGGCCTCTTAAAATTATTTAAGGAAAACTTATATCCCATTAACTAAAGAAAATGTACAGTTTTAAAAGAATAGAAAAATAGCAAGGGATTACATCTCCTTTAAAGACCTACAAAAACAGGAGGCAAATGGTAAAGATATTTGAACCAAAGAGTTATATTGGTTATTATCTGGTTTTTGTTTAAGATATGAAAACTTCCAACATAATACAAAATATTACAAAATGAGAGGACATTCTTAATCTTATGCATTAGCTTCATTATAGCATGGTTTATTGATCAACAGAGCAATAAGATAGTAGTTTAGAAGGACGAGCTCATCTATCATTATTATTTGTCCTTTCATTATTTTGTGAAGACTCTTGATGTGAAGTCTACCATTTCCCACTTATCTATTCTTTTCAGGTTCAGGCAATTTATATTTGACATATAAAAAAGCAACATCTTTATTTCACAGATTTAAACATTGATCCACTTTTCTAATCTAAGTAAGCATCACATTCTACAAATCATAAGAAGACATAAAAGAAAACTTAAGCATTCTACCACAGATGAAAAAAAATTAGTGATACACAGGCAAACATTTTTTAAATTATAGGCTGTTTTCTCCATGTGCTTCATGCCACTAGTAGCTGCCCAGCAAGTCCAGGATTTCTTTCTTTGATTAAGGCAGCAATAATGGTGGCACCTTGCCTTAAACTCTCCTGTATCTTCAGCTTATCCTGCAAAACATAAAAAAAGGTGAAATAATTATCTTAAATGGAAAGGTACAATAAATTAAATCTCTTAAAGAGCAACTTTTCAGGTCCACTTCTTTCTAGGTGCCACTTGCTATAGAATGCAGACTTCAACCTTTGACATGGACTAATTCCTCTCAAAAAAAC